ACAAGTTATGAAACAACAGGTCACTAACCGAAGTGTAGTGGCTTTCCAGAATGAATGTATTTATTAGCGTGAGTGGTGTTGCGTGACTGTCGAGGAAAATCGAGTACAGGCCAGTCAAACAATTTAGATTAGGATAGATTAGTGTATGAGTAGAATTTGTAAATACCGTTTCAATGTATTTATTAGTGTGAAAGAAAGGAGGCCGATAATCTTCCGACCTCCTATTTAGTTGTAATGTAGGTACATTATACATAGGTTAGTAAATTAGTATGAATGTGAATTATGAAAATGTGTATAAATATTATATCTATGTATTTTAATTTATCACGTGTGGGAGGGTAACAACAAACAAGATAACGAATCTCCTATTATGTGAATCGGAAGGGAACAGACGTTTAGTTGAGACATAAGAAGACTCAGAAAAGAATGTACACATAAGATAGCTAAGAAGAAAAATATGAGAAGGCTTTGTATGTGGGGCACCGGCGATGACCCTGGTAGTTAGCCGGCAAAAAAAAGAAAAAAAAAGTCACTAAGAAAACACACATTTCTACCCGAGAGGAACAACATAACACTTTCACACAAAACCAATGACACCTCAAGAATAGCAACATACTTTATGACGTGAAGATTACCAGAATAAAGATCTAAAAATTGGCCAAAAAAAGTGTTTTTCTAAACTATTTTAAAAAAGTTTAGTTAAATTATATTAAAAACTGATTTGGGCTCTATGACAAGAAGAATGGCAACTCTGGCAATGGAAAATAAAGCAGAAATTAACCCACTCTGTAAAATTATGGGATAACTATATGAGAAAGTGCAGAAAAAAAGAACTTTTAACTAGTCTGAGAATAGGTCACTGTAGAATTACTAAGGAGTATTTAATCACAGAAAACCTTCCCCTCCCTATTCACGAATTTTGATCTTCTAATTTAAATTTGTAACTTTCTAAAATTTATGTTTTTCTTCGGTAAAAAAAATATTAAAGAAATATATAAAAAATAAAGAAAACAGATTCCAATAAAACTATTAAAAAAGTAACGATGAACTAGATTATCGACCTGCAGGATACAAGAAGTCTTTTCAGAGGATCTTCGGAAGAGGTCAAAACAGAGAAAACTTCCTTACGGTTTTCGCCGAGCTTTCGACAGTTTTATACTGTCATCTTCAGGGCTTTAAAACCTTAATAGGAAATTAAACAACATGGTGTTTTGGGCACGAAGTACATTATGTTTTTTGGGGCTTAGCATCTCATATAAGTCTAAAAAACCAATAAAATCCTCCTTTTTTTTTCTTTGGTAGCCTTTGTTTCCCCTCGTCGTACAGATTTTGTTTTTATCGGTTTTTATTGATTTGATCTGTGATCCTACTGTATTGTTATTTAAATTTTAAAATAAGTTAATTGTATATATATATATATTTGGGAAACGTACTGTGATCACATGTACCTGAAAAACTAAAAAATGGAGGATTTTATTGGTTTTTTAGACTTATATGAGATGCTGAGCCCCAAAAAACATAATGTACTTCTGTGCCCAAAACACCATGTTGTTTAATTTCCTATTAAGGTTTTAAAGCCCCGAAGATGACAGTATAAAACTGTCGAAAGCTCGGCGAAAACCGTAAGGAAGTTTTCTCTGTTTTGACCTCTTCCGAAGATCCTCTGAAAAGACTTCTTATTAAAAAAGTCTTACTAAAATTATTCATACTTAAAAGATAAGTTGTTACTGTATTTGATACGAAATGAAACACGTTTTAAGAAACAGCATTGCTTAAAATTCCCCCCCCCCCACCAATAATTACAAAATTAAGGTGTTACACTAACATAAAATTCAAGTTAATTAGTTGCGTACCGCAGGGCATTGTGCTCGGATCAATCCTCTACATCCTTTATACTGCAGGTATTTCCACTAAACCTACCACCCTACTGGCATCCTTCGCCGATGATACAGCTGTACTATCCTCCAATTCCGATCCTGCGGTTGCTTCGGAAGATCTGCAGAAACATATCTCATGTATAGCAGATTGGTGTAGACAATGGAAAATGAAGATAAACGAAAGAGCGTCCATGTCACATTTACACTCCGAACCAAACCTCCTCTCACGATATACTACAATAACGTTCCTATCCCCAAATCCGACTGCGTTCGCTACCTTGGGTTCCACCTAGACTCACGACTAACGTGGAATCAACATACACGACTGACACGACAAAACCTAAACAGGCGGTATGGTCACATAGACTTATAGGTCGACAGTCTAAACTATCGACAAAAAACAAACTTACAATTTACAAAACACTACTACAACCGATTTGGACGTACGGAATAGAGCTGTGGGGAACCGCTAAACCTTCCAATATCCAACGTCTCCAATCCTTTCAATCTAAAGTCCTCAGATCCATTGTAAATGCTCCTTATTATGTCTCAAATGCTACCCTCCACAACGACCTTCAAATTCCTTATATCCAAAAATTTATTCCCCAAAAATTTACCAAGTTTCACAGAAAACTCTCCCACCATCCAAATAGTCTTGCCCAAACCCTGTCCGATAGAACCCATCCCTACAACCCCATAACATTGATTATTTTCTCCCCTCAAGGTAAATAGTTGTACATAAGTTCATGTATCCGCAAATTACATATTGTAAATAATAATAACAGATTGTAATAAAAAAAAATAGTTCAAAATTTAGCGTGTATAATAATTCAGCTGTCCAAATAAAACAATAACACGCTTTCTTTGGTAGAAGGTAAACTGTCAGGTTCTCATTGTAAGAACCCTCTTCCTACACGAAAAGAAGAACGGAAATAACACATTGAAAGAACAAGAAAGAAAGCATTTTTTTAAACGAAACGTAAAGTTATTGTGTATTGATTAATTGTTGTTAGCGAGGGTGAATAGGGTACTCAATATTCTCTGAATGAAAAAGAAATGAGTAAGAAGGTAGGTGTGAATTATTACAGAACATTTACAACCAGAAATTGAAGTTTATTTAAAGTTTTTTTTTAATTTTAAGCATTCAAGTAAAATAGTTAACCATAAAACTCACAGCTACTTTCTTGCATAGAATTTAGTGGTATTTGCTCAATTCTTGCAATACACTCACAGGCAAAAATTCCACCAATTTTTAACATTTAATAATTGAATCTTTGTCAAAAATAGTAAAAAAAAAGTAAATTGCTGTGGAAAAAAGGCCAGATAAAATTTGTTTTAATTAGATTTGTAATTAACATTTTATATCGCGTATTTCTTTTTTTTGCCTTAATTACATCTCGCAAACACCTCGGGATACTTTCTATCAGTATCTCCAGATGTCTCTTTGCTGGAGGTTAGCCTATTCTTCAGGAAGAGTCCTTTCAAAATCGTGGAATGTATCAGGAAGTGCTGTTATTCGTCTTTTGAGGTTATCACTTAAATGTTAGATAGGTTTCAAATCAGGAGAACGGGCTGGCCTGGCTAAGACCATGATGTTAAGCTGCTGAAGGTACGTTTGTACCATGCGAGCGACGTGTAGACGGGCATTATCGTGCATTAAAATAGGATTGTCGCTGATTTCATCAAGGGTAGGCAATGCATGATGTTCCAAAATTTCATCCACATAGCGAGCGTCAAAGACCCTTCACGAACGACAACCAATTCTGTGTGTTACGGTCAATTCTGGTCCTCCTAAAAGCCATCAGGACATACTGATTCAATTTTCTTCGAACAGTGCGTTCGGAAATTTGGACACCTCAACTTCTTGGAGATGAATCGCTTGAACAACAGTAAGGTGCCGGTTTCGCAATATTCTCAAAGTCAAACAACCCTCGTCCTGTGGTTCTTTTACTCTAGGGCGTCCAGAACCGGGCCTTCTGCGGTAGGACCCAGTTTCTCGAAAACGACTAAGGGCGTCACGGAGAGTTTCATAGGGAACTACGATGGCAATAGGCGCATACCTGATGGAACGTCCATCATCAGAAAGTGCCACACCTCGCACAACATCCTCAGCACTAAGTGGCATTTTTAAGTTTAAATATTGAAATTAAGAAAAGAAAGATGAAAACTAAACAGTTTATTGCTTCAGAATTCAAATGAGACTGAATAAACATTTTAAATTATGTAAAAAGTAGACATTGAAAAATCCTGTATCCTTGTTTTGGATTAAGGATTAGATGTGTTTACCTCTAATTGATATTACAAATTTAAAACAACATAAACAAATATTTCTTGGTAAAAACAATGAGACAAATGAAATGCAGAATTTTCTTCTATGGAGAAAATTAAAAAAAAATCAATTCGGTGGAATTTTTTGCTTGTCAGAGTATTTTATTTCATATGACCTCTAAAGAAGATCTTATCACCCAAACTTCATATTACATTTGTTAATGTTGAGTATTGACGTTCATGGCACACCCTGTATATAGAAAATAATTATCAGCTTCATATAATTATTATCGAAATGCAAATTCCAGGAGTTTGTTATTTCAAATAAATCAAAAATACAATAAAACCATCCTGGTTGGAATTCCTTTGTTAAAACAACGTTCCCAAATTTGGATCCACGTGACTAATAATTAGCTTAAAAAATCCAAGTCGTTTGGTGGATTTTTCGAATATCTGCGGCCAAGGTCCGGAAGGGGGAGATTTCCCTGTGGAAACAAAAGGAAATTGGTCTAAGAAGTCGGATTAAGGGACCTCCAGTCCTGGATAAAGAAAAGGTTGTTTTTCCACGAGCGGGTATTGATTACCGATGTAAATGGCGGTGTAGAGAGCGAAGCGGTACTACCCACCCCCGCAAACAACTCGTACGAATAAATTTAAATATAAATGTTCCTACTAATCATTGTGTTGTTTTGTTGTCGCGAGGGGGTGGGCGAGTGCAGGGAGCGGATGAGGGATAAAAGGGGGTGAGAGGGACGGAGCGGGCCAATGAAGTGGCGGCGGTGGGTGCGCAATGGCGAGAGGCGTGGCTCCCGGCCGGGTGGGGACCGTCCGGAGGGTGCGGCGCCTTCCAGTAGGGGTTGAGCCAGTCGTGAGTGCGCCATGACCGAAGTGAAGCACCAAGGCCCTACCGTGAGGGTTTCCGCACCTTCCCTCCACGAGATCACGTCTGCGAAAAGGCCTCCGCAAAGGTCGCCCTTCGCCATTCACGAGCTGCTCGGCCTCGGAGGAAACGGCAACGAGCACAATGCCGACATCTACAGACCCCACAACAATAACAACAACAACAACCACAGCCACCACCAGGCGTCATTACACACGCAGGCCATGTTTACGGCTTCGAGGATGGCCTACTTCAACGCACAGGCGGCCGTCGCCGCTGCAACGGCTTTCCTCCCTCAGCCGCAGCCGCCTCTCCATCACGCCGCACCTCCACCAGGTCTGTCAAACCTTTTCTAACGGAAATTACATAAATCTTAAAAATCTCCAGGGTCTAGATTGCTACTGTTTCCCTTTTTGGATAACCCGAAATCTCACCAAGTACCAATCTTCTTTAAATAAAACCATTGAATAAGTTTGACAAAATATACATACACTGATCCACTACGTTAGTCCGAATATTTCCTCCAAAAATAACATAAAATCTTCAAGTTCTACATTGCTACTATTTCCCTTTTTGGATAACCCGAAATGTCACCAAGTACCAATCTTCTTTAAGTAAAACCACCGAATAAGTTTGACAAAATGTACATCCACTGATCCACTACGTTACTCAGAACATTTTCTCCGAAAATAACAAAAAATTCTTAAGAATCTTCACATTCTACATCGCTACTATTTGCCTATTTGGACAACCCGGAATGCCACCAGGTCTCTATCATCTTTAAGTAAAACTACCAAAAAACATTGACAAAATGTACAGTTACTAGTTTAATCAGAACACTTTTCCTGAAACAAAAAACACACACAAAACCTTAAGAAACTCCAAGATATACATTGCTACAGTTTCCCTTTTTGGATAATCCGGAATGTCACCAAGTACCAACTCCTCTACGTAAAACCACCTATATACCAAAGTGAACATCCACTGATCTACTAGGTTAGTCAGAATATTCTTAAAATCTTAAAAATCTTCAGGTTCTACATTGCTGCTATTTCCCTTTTTGACAACCCGTAATGTCACCAAGTACCTATCTTAAAAACAAAAAAAAAGCAACAACCACCAAATAAATTTGGCAAAATGTACATCTACTAGGTTAGCTGAAAAGACACAAAATTTTAAGAAACTCCAGGATATACATTGCTACCTTCTTTTTAAAAAGATAGTTCCTACTCACAGTACATTATTTTCAATGTTCCGGATTTCGAGCTTATCGCTCATCATCAGGTTGAACGAGTTCCACCTTATGATGAACTATAAGCTCGTTGAATACTTTGAGTAGGAACTATCTTTTTAAACCGGATGCCACCAAGTATCTATCTTGTTTAAGTAAAACCACCAAAAAAGTTCGACAAATGTACATCTACTAGGTTAGTCAGAACTTTTCCCCTGAAATGACACAAAATCTTAAGAAACTTCAGGATATACATTGCTACTGTATCCTTCTTTGGGTTACCCGGAACGTACCGAGTACCTATCTTCTTTAAGTAAAACCAATGAATAAGTTTGATAAAATGTACATCTACTAATCTACTAGGTTAGTCAGAATATTTCTTCCAAAAATAACACAAAATCTTAAAAATCTTCAGGTCCTACATTGCTACCGTTTTCCCTTTTTGGATGACCCGGAATGTCACCAACTACCTATCTTCTTTAAAAAATATATATAAAATAAATAAATAAAAACAATACGAAAATAACATAAAAACTTATCCCCACGTTCTACATTGCTACTATTTCCCTATTTGGGTAACTCAGAATGCCACCAAGTACATCTCTTCGGAAAAAACAAAACAAAAAAGAACAACCACCGACTTAAGTTTGGCAAAATGTACATCCACTAGATTAGTCAGAACATTTCCTCCAAAAATATCATAAAAACGGTTCTCCACGTTCTACATTGCTACAATTTCCCTATTTGGATAACCCAGAATGTCGCCAAGTGGGTCTCTTCGTTAAAAAAAAAAAAAAAATCATCGACATAAGTTTGGCAAAATGTACATCTAATAGGTTAGTCAGGATATTTACCCTGAAAAATTCAAATTCTCAAGAAACTCCTGAATATAAATTACTAGTTTCCATTTATTGGATAACCCGGAATTTACCAAGTACCTATCTTCTTAAAAAACAAAACAAACACAAAGCAACAACGGTCGACATAAGTTTGGCAAAATACATCCACGAGGTTAGTCGAAATATTTCCACCGAAAATAACATAAAATCTTAAAAATCTCCAAGGATATACATTGCTACAATTTCCTCCTTTTGGATAACATAAGTTTGGCAAAATGTACATCTACTAGGTTAGTCAGAACTTTTACCCTGAAAAACATAAAATCTTAAGCAACTCTAGGATATATATTGATTACCGTTTGTCACCAAGTACATCTCTTCGTAAAATAACAACAACCACCGACTTAAGTTTGGCAAAATGTACATCTTCTATGTTAGATAGAACATTTTCCTTGAAAAAACACAAAATCTTAAGAAAATCCAGGATATATATTTCCCTTTTGGATAACCCAGAATGTCACCAAGTCTTCATAAAATAACAACCATAGACCTAAGTTTAGCAATATTTATATCCACTAGTTCGGTCAGGACATTTCCATCGAAATAATACGAAATCTGTACACTGAAAACCTTCAGTAATCCTTGTTAAAATTAGCCAATCCTCCTGAAGATCAATCATTCCCATAATTTATAAATCATTCCTTTTGCAAGAAGGCCATCTACCATACCAGTCAGCACCTTTATGGTGAAAATCGCACAAAACAATAAATTCACTTAAGAAATTATAACTTAAAAATTACCAGTATTCTTAAAAGCATAATTCAGCTTTGGCAAAATGTACATCCGCTCGGTTTTCTACCCCAAATTGCACAACATCTGTACTTGAAAACACACCAGAAATTTCCATATTTTGTATTGTAGGTGTTTTCCTTTTCGGATAATACGGTTTGTTAAAAATTATCAATATTCTTGAATAACAACAATTACCTAAATCATTTGGCATAGTCTTGGCAAAAAGGACGTTTTATATCCAAAACAACAGACAAACCCACTCTCTTAAGAAACACCAGCTTATCTCCAAGAGTTATTTCTTCATTGGAATAAAATAAACACCATTTTTCCTTCTTTTCGGATAACCCTGGTGAAAAGGATTATCCATCTGGGAAAATTTGGAAAAAATGGCAATCCGGATCTAAAATTGACCAATCCTCCTGAAAACCAATCATCATAAGTTATTCGTTAGGGAAGAAGGACATCCACAAAGACAGACGGACACTTTCAAGTAAAAATCTATACTCTTAAGAAAGTCCAAGTTTAAAATAGCTTGTCTTTGTCTTTTCTGATAAGCCGGGTTGTCAAAAATTATCAGTATTCTCAAAAAACAATCAACGGACTAATTCAAGTTTGTCTTGTACATCCACTACGCCAGACGAAAAATTTTCCCTTTTTGGATAATCCGGATTGTGAAAAACTATTATTCGTCCTGAAAAAAACAACTAATGTCATTAGGTAGTTTGGGCAAAAGCGGCATCTACCAGGTCAGTCGGAATGTTTTCTAGCCAAAACAACAGAAAATCTCTACTTTTAAGTAACACCAGCTTATCTCAAGGTATTATTTCTATATTGAAATAAAACAGTCAAGTTATTCCCCTTTTAGGACAACCTGGGCTATCAAGAATTATTAATCTAGAAAACACCCATTGGCATAATTCATGAAGCATAGGTTTTGTCGTAAGGGATATCCATCAAGATAAGTAGTATAAAATCTCTACTCTTAAGAAAAACCAGCAGGTATTCAGAAGTTATTTTTGTATATTAATACATTATTCAAATAGTCCTGGTTCTCTAGAATAATCAGTCTTCCTAAAAAAACAACCCTCGGCACAATGAAAGTTTGACAAAGTGTACATCCGCCAGATCAGACGGAACGTTTTACAGCAAAAATAACCCAAAATCTACATTCTGATAAAACACCAGACATCTTCAGGGTTTTATATCGTTTCTGTATCCCTGTATCCTGGTACATGCAGGATTATCAAATAATATCAATTTTCCTTTATAAAAACCCACAATTTATAAGGAATACGTTTGGCGCAAAGGATGTCTTTCAAGGCAGTCGGAAAGTTTCCAGTGAAAATCTTTAAAACGTCAATGATTAAGGCCTTGTTTCTCATTAACATAAAACCGTCAGACAACATGGGCTGTCAAGAAATTATCCATCTTCCATATATTGATAGACTGTTGTTAACGAGTGTCAATAGAGTATTCAATATTCTGCTACCGGACTTGTCTCACGATGAATTCACGCTAATAAATACAAGCATGCACAAAAAAATGTAATGATAACAAACAGAAGACAACTGTTTCGTACAAAAGGGACCGAAAAAATCGCCGATCAAATGCGATTCTCGTATCGTGTGGTATACCTACTCGCTCCTCATATAGAGCCAAGGTAATTCAATCAATTATGAAGCAAAAATCTTGAAAGCAAAAATAAAGCACGTTTATTTATAAACTGGACGAATTCCTAACTGCTTAATCAAAACTGCTATCGGCTTTATTCAATTTTGACCAAATATACACCTACCGGGTTACATTTCCAGCAAAAATAACAAATTGTGTTTTTTTTTTAAGAAATCTGTTCTCTTAAAAGTTAACTCCGTGTTACTTACATTGAATATACAAAATAAAAAGAAAGAAGATTCATCGTTTACTTCAAAGTGAATTAAAAATTAAAATAATCATTTTAACAATCAAGTCAATAATGCAAGTTGGGTTTACTGAGAGACTGGCACAGATATTTTAACACAATTTTATTATAAACAATTTGGTCGTTTCACATAAAATGTCCGTTTTTATTATTTGAGAAAAGCACAGAGGATTAAGCGGTTTCGTTTTTGTTTATAAGAACATGTTTAATTTAACAGTGATTAATCTTCTTTTATTAAACTATCGATTAGCCCCACAATTCATTACACGCTCTTTAGTATACATACAAATACAAAACTTTCAGACATGCCATTTTGTGCCATATTATTTTACGAGTTTAAACTCGTTCATTCAACAGCCAAGACTGCAAGAAACATCAAAGACTGTTAACAAACGGACAGGCATCGAGAAAGGCGATGAAGCTTTCAAGCTTTTTGGGAAATAACTTCAAATTTACTGAATACAGTTTCAAGACAATTAAAGTACATGTGAAAAGTCAAAAAGCTTGTGAGCTGGCAGCAGTAGTAGCGCCATTAGACATGCGTTCCCTTGCTTGC